GAAACAAAAGGCAGCTACTAACGCGTTATTGCTAACTCGATTTGTTCGATACGTACGCTAACTCGAAGGTGTACGATTTGAGCTCAAGTTGGTTGCGTTACGCGTAGTAAATCGTAGGTATTATAAGGCTAGTAAATGACGAATTTCCCTTGTTTATTGTTGTCACACTCCTCCCTATTATGTACTCCTGATAATATTTATATTACTTAATAAAAATACCATATATATACGCATTGCGCCGTGTCTGTTTGCCGCACAGATAGTAATGCATGGCATCACCCACAATATCGATCTACATTTATATTTAGGTTAAGTATGGAATATAAGTAAAAAATATAAGTATATTATAAGGAATTATAAGGAATATTTAGTTAAGTAAGTAAGTAGTTAAAGAATGGACAGCCCATGTACACAGGAATAGTGTCGAGAAAATTCGCCAACTATCCCTATCGATGGATAATCGTTTTGTTTTCAAAATGTGTTTGCGTCACTGACGTACTTTGTGTAATAAAGCGCCTAGAATACGTAGTGGGTACATGCCCGCGCTTGCGCTTAGAACGCTCGTGAATCAAAAATTCGACGAATGATTGCCTCTGTGCATGCAATTTAAAGAAGACAGTTCATTTTTACCTTTGTTTGGTGTCATCGGGAACGACAGGTGGAGTATATCAGCTGCTCTGCATACGTTGTTCACAGGTTTCCTTGCGTGCTCCGAGCCTTTCTTGCAATGCAGTGAATTTTACACATCTACTATACTCTCTCTATCTCTAAAGTTCAGATATAATTAAGTTTATTTCAGAAATTATAATTATTATGTTTTTTGGTATGATCGGGTCACTCAATCGCTAGCAAATCGCAAGCTGAACGTATTCGGAGGCGACTATGTATTATATAAGGTGACGCAGTATATATATAAAAGCTAGCCGTGTCCTGTGTGACACGCGCACTGATGCCCTGCGCATGTGATCCAATTGCAACACTGCAGTTATAAAGCCTAGCGCACACACCCGAGCAAAATACCCTGAACGTGGAGCAAAACGTGTTTCGCTCGATGTTCGTGGCTGTGTGCGGATTCCCGAAACAAAAAACATTGCTCAGCTGGGCGTGTTTCGCTGAACAAGCAATGTTTGATTCACGGAACGTGTTTTCGCCTGAGCGTACGTTTTGCTCGGGTGTGTGCGTCAATCGTTCTGCTACACAGCGAAACGCCACAGACGGTCTCTAATCAATATTGTTTCGCTGAGCGAAAAGTTTTGTTGTTGTTATTAGAATTTGTGTTTATTAGAATGGCAGGAAAGCCGGATATTTATAGGTTTGGCTGCGGTGAAGTGTTTAGGATTTATAGCAGGTTTAAACGGCGATTATGTTAGGGGTTTGTTTGACAACACCAGTGCACTATGTCACGGGCGGCAGATACGACTCGACCACGTGTATGTTCGAAGCCATTTGATTCACTTGCTCTACTTGCGATTTGTGTCTGCCAGCGTCAAGTCATAAAAAATTCGCATCGGGAGGCCCACTGATCTCTACAATATAATATATTATAGAGATCATATTAGATATTATATTATAGAGATCAGTGGGAGCTAGGCCCCCGCACGCGAGTTTTTAAAACGTAGGATGGGGGAGTTGCTAGAACACGGGCGTCGAAGGAGGGTCACGTGATGTGGCTGCACTTGTGTTAGGAATAGGATTAGGTATAGGGTCAGGGTTAGGGTTAGGGTTAGGGAAATTAGGCCATGTCTAGCACGGAAGTATGACTGTAGAATCTTTTTGTGGAAGCGTACAAAGTGACTAGTGCTCCCACGTAACGGCACCCTCCTTCAACACTCGTAGGATGGCTACTGAAGATTGATAAATTATTCATGACATCACACATGGTTCGCGTTTTTTATTCGTTGCCGGTCGCTTAGATTTGTTTAGATTTGTTTAGAGTCGGTTTAAATAAGTTAGTATTATAGGGTTAGGGTTGGGTTATGGTTAGGGTTAGGGTTAGGGATATGGTTATGCGCTATTCGTCCGAGCAATCGTACAGCGTGGTATGCGTCGTTTTCCCACACCATAGATTAATTTGGTACTATGACACGCGTATATAAGATAGCCGAGTCGGTTTAGAGTTAGTGTTAGGATTAGGGTTGGGTTATGGTTAGGGTTAGGGATATGGTTTTGGGCTCGTGAAGTGGTCTTGAGTGAAGTGAATTATTACTTCGCACAAATCAGAAATGTGAACCATGTGTGATGTCATGAATAATTTATCAATCTTCAGTCGCCATTCTACGGTTTAAAAACTCACCCCCCCCCCGCACACTGTACGACTCAAAGTTGACGCAAACCATGGCACTCTCGTGGTGTTCCAAGCGGATTTAGCGTGTACTAAGGTTCGGGAGTGTTTTTCCGCCATTTTTACCAAATGCGGTTCCCATGGCGCTGCTCTGTGATTGGTCAATTTTCTTCAGCGCTTGGCGGTGGGTCGGATGGTCACGCACACTATCCGAGTCGCGTCGTAAGCCCTCGCACACTATACGACCCGCTCCGCTTCCGATTCAAAATTCGATTCGGCCCAAAATGACCTCCCGAGCCAAACTTAAGCCTCCCGATCCAAACGTAAGCCTCCCGATCCAGACATAAGCCTCCCGATCGCGCTCGGGTCGTATATTGTGCGGCTAGCACTGAAACGAGGAAAAAGACGTTACCCAGTTCAAAGTAGATTTGTTATAGCGATGAATAAGGAAAACTATATAGTATATGGTTTCTCAACCCACATGCGCTCGCACAGTAGCACGCAGCCGCGTGCTTCGCACGCTCACGTCCGATCCCCTCTCACAACCAAGAACCTTCCCTTTATACATTTCTAGATAACAAAGGACGTCGCGCGCGCCCGGAGAACCACACCCGCTGCCCTCGTGTACAACAACTCCCTCTCAACCGGTTCTCATCTCCATCATCCATACTACATCAAACGCGCTGCCGCTGACTAACCCATTATGCAACTACTTGTTGCGACATTTCTAAACGCAACTACTATTTCTACCATCTGCAAACCATACTTTACAGCTACGCTTGCGCTTGCACTTGCAAATATGCTATGCCTGCTGTGTAACGCTAGTGTATAACTCAGATCGCGTGCACTCGCTCTACGCGCACTCGCTCAGATGCGCTGCCGTATAAAGTTGATAACTCAACAACCACCAACCCGATTTTGACGATATTTTTTCCTGATAAGGGGTGAAAATATGCACTTTTTGGTTCAAATCTGGTTGTTTTTCTTATACTATCTTGCACAGTTTTAGCGTTCTTAGTTAAATATACGTTTTAACAAAATTTTGTTGTAGTTGGAGGGGGGTTGCGTGTTATTAAACCTCTGGGAGCAAAAGAAGAAAATAACCCTAGAATTCACAAATATTGCACCAACAATTTCCATTTTTTTCGCGTGGCATGCCCCCATACTCCTGTAGCAACTGGTTTATCACTACGATACAGTTGTAGATGGTGATGTCGTATGCGTAACCAAAAGACATAGACAGATAAAGGCAAGTCAGAGAATAAGTACCATGACTGAAGCTTCTTTAATTTTGTTCACGATTGTCATACAAATTACTCTGGCGGTCGCGTCTGAGGTAGGGAGCGGATTCCCCGAGACAGCTCGTGCAGCTGTTTTTATAGGCGCCCCCCTCGCACGTGGGACATGGCAACCACGTGCCATGTCCCCCCAACCCCCGNTGTTCGAACTGATTGCAATACAAATTACTCTGCGGTCGCGTCTGAGTAGGGAGCCGGATTCCCGAGACAGCTCGTGCAGCTGTTTTATAGGCGCCCCCGTCGCACTTGGGACTATGGCAACCACGTGCCATGTCCACCAACCACCGTGCCGCCGCGCATCCGGCCAGTTCGCTTGCTCACCCTGGCCGCACTGGACGGTGGCGGCCCCAACGGGAGCTAACGGGAGCAACCCGCTATTCTGCCACGGCACGTCCAGGAGGTGGCTCCGCCTATCACCGCAAACGCGTCACGAGCAGTCAAATGGCCCTGCCCACGCGCTAACAGCTTTTTCACGCCGCATTTAGCGCATGTAATCCCGCCCGGTGATGAGCGGCTCTTAACGTCACTCCGAGCAGCATTGACTCATCACCGGCTCTGTTCACACACTAACTCGGTACCGCTAATGATTGTGGCGACGGCCACACGCGTGCCGCCTGATTGGGGATAGTTGCACCAAAACCCCGACCAGCTGGCGTGGGTGCGTGACAGGTGGCGACATAGCGGCTCCGGTAGCGTGCGGACAGCGCGGGTGGGCCGCTGCATTGATCGCCCGTGTTGCTAGGGGCACACCGCATAGCAATAGGCATGGGAGCCGTATTGATCGCGGTGGTTGCTAGGTGGTTGCTAGGTGGTTGCTAGGGGTGGCGCCGTAACACGTAACACGTAACACGCGATGCCTCTGCATGCCTCGTCACCGCCGGCGCGACCCGGCCGTGAGGGGGGGAGGCACCCTGTAACACGTGGTTGTTACACCTCCCCCCCACTAAACGTGATGACCACCTGTGGACTCGAATGCCAGCCTCCGGGTTGGCCGTCCACAGGGGGGGGGGTGGCTGTCGACGTCTTGGCATCGTAATGTTAGCATGCTATGATCCGCGATATTATGAATATATGAATATATGAATATATGAATATTAATAATGCCTCGTTATGACGCGCATTACCACGCGATATGACAACACATAATAACACATAGTACCACGCAATATGATAACACATAATGACACATAATTACAGAATAAAACGTCGATTGGCCTATGGCTTATAGAAGTGCCCTTGTGGCACCTGTCCTGAAGGGACCTAACTGGCGCTCATGCGTCGTGGTTTTCGTCGTCGTCATCCGGATGGCCGGTTCCGTTGGGGATGGCGGCCGCTCGCGAGATGGCCTCGAAGATGGCCGCTACGGCCATCTGGCGGACGTGTTGGGGGTTAAATGTCGTTGAGACCGGATCGTCGTCCTCGCCGACGACGAACTCATAGAGGATCGGGTCTGAGTTCGCGCCCGTCCCGACGATGCGCCCGTTGTAGTAGTGGTCGGGGGGTGGGGGTGCGGGGCTCCACGGATCGTCGTCCGAGTCCTCCGGGGAGGTGTCGTCGTCGCTGGAGTATGCTGTGTCCGGCCCTGGGTGGGCGTAGGGGTTGTAGGCTATGGTCACGCCATTCGTGCGTGGCTGCGGCGGGGCGGGGAGCGCGCTTTCTCCCGGCCCTGCGGCGCAGAGTTCGCATTCGCAGGCGACGCCCGCGGCTATGGTGCTGGCGCCCACGGCGCAGACGCGCACCCACATGCGGCGCGGCGCCTGCTGCATAGACCCAGCGCGCCGTGGTGCAGGGCGGGGAGGCGCAGGCGGAGGTGCCGAGGGCGCAGATGGCACATGCGCAGTCGCGTAGCCGCAGGCGGTTTGGCGCCCGGTCTGCGGCGGAGGCGGCGGCGCTGATGGGGTGCTTGCGCCCGTCTGCGGCGGAGGCGACGGCGGTGATGCTGGGTGTTGGTTGGGCTGTTGCCCGTCGGTGTTGTGGTCAGTTGAGTCCTGGCAATGTTCAAGTGGCATGATAATACGTGGCACGGTATTATAGCCGGGGCAGTATGTAACGTGGCTGCCCGGTCAGTGCCATAGCGGCATCTGATAAATTAGAGTACGTGGTCGCGTATAAGCCGCTAAATACGCAGGGTTACAAATGGGCCGATTTGAACGGCATTTCACAATTATATACGTTTAAGTGGTACGCGTGTTAGCTATAGTGCGCTTGACGAATATACTAATACGATTACGTTTAATAATTAATTACGACGACAAGGCTACGGCGTGCACTCGCTGCACGTAGTCGGGGTTGTAATGCTATCCTTAGCCGGTGTTACTTAAATAATGGGCCACTCATAGGGTTCTAGTGTGCCTAATATGGGCGATTCTAATTCCGCTAATCTACTTGAACAAAATTAAAGAAGCTTCAGTCATGGTACTTATTCTCTGACTTGCCTTTATCTGTCTATGTCTTTTGGTTACGCATACGACATCACCATCTACAACTGTATCGTAGTGATAAACCAGTTGCTACAGCAGCACTTTTATTGGACATGGGAAAAGCTTTGGGCCATGAAGTTTAAAAATCTAGAAACGTGAGCAGGTAATGATTACCCACGTTTAAGCAGGGGTGTGGACCCGTAACATCGATGGTGACCACATCTCCTGAGTGTGTGGGTGACGGAGCATGGTGTAGGAGGGCGCAGACTTGCTGTAGTTTTCGACAATTACGTACGATGCATGATTTAATGTAGTGGTATGCATCTGCGCAGGAATATCGCTGGAAGAGTTTACTATAGACTTTCTTGAAACCCAGATAGCCACCATACGCATGATCGTAGAACAAAGAAAGCACATCAGGTACGAGAATACGGGGGATGACTAATTGGGGCGCAGCGTCAGCATCCTGCGCGCGAGACGGCATATGAACAAGCAAGCCATTAACAAGAAGATTCACACAGTTGGAGAGTGTGCGTATAATCTGGCAAAGGAGCGGATCAGCCTGCTGGAAGGCAGCAAGATTAGCATCAGTAGCAGGGATAGTAGGAGGGCGTGTTGGGGTAGGGTGTGGTCGTGCGCTAGGGTAAGGAGGGTCGTGATAAAGCGTAATGGGACCTACTCAGCGTGAAGGTTGTGAGGCCTCAGCGTCGGGTGAAGGCAGTACCACTTGGTGTATGGTTTGTGAGGCCATACCGCCGAGCGATGATGAGGTGGTGGGCATGGTTGATGAGTCATGGGATGACGTGGACGCAGACGCCTCGGAAAGCAAACGAGAAAGTGCGTCCGCTATGACGTTCGATTTACCCGACGTTTATTTGAGCCGGCATGAGGGGAAGCCAGAGACGTACAGGGCCCACCAATGGAGTTTAGCGGTGCGCAGTGCCTTAGCTTCTAACAGATACATAAGTGGTTTGTGATCGCTAAGGATCACAAAATCGGCACTGACGAGGTAGTGTTGAAACTTTCATAGTGCGTAAACCAACGCATAACATCCGCGTTCTATCGTAGGTCAGCGTTGTTCTGTCTCAGTTAACTGTTTGCTAAGATAAAACACTGGGTGCTCTCGCTCTCCCTCATTTAATTGCGTGAGAACTGCTCTGACGGCGTAGCCAGAAGTGTTGCAATAGAGGTGGTATGGTCGACTTCCACCAGGCAATGCCAAAATGGGAGCGCGGTCTGTACCTCGTCTGACCATACAAAGAGTTTGTCCTTGTGGGTGAGAATCGTTAATGGGTGGGCAATATTGGCATAGCCCTTAATAAACTTGCGATAGCAGTTGGTAAAACCCAAGAATTGACGAACAGCTGATGGCGTGATTGGCGGGGCCCAATTTTGCACTGCAAAGATCTTCTCTGGGTCGGGTCGCACGCAACCCAGGGTTATCACGTGACCCAGGTAGTTAATGGACTGACGCAAACACGTACACTTACTGGGTTGCATCTTGAGGTTAGCCACGTCAAATCTGGCAAAACCTCTAAATCTGACAACAAACGTTCAAACCCTCTAAATCAGACATATGGGTGTCAAAATCCGGGGAATAAATGCACACATCGTCAATATAAGCCAGCGCACATTTGTGACGGAGTCCTTGCAGGACGTAATCAAGGACACGCTGAAAATAGGATGGTGCGTTTTTCGGTCCGTAAGGTGTCCTTAAATTGTCATAGCCCCCAGAGGGCGTTACAAAGCAACTTTTCGGAACGTCCTCTGCTAACGGGATTTGATGGTAGCCACTTTTGAGGTCAAGGGTAGTAAATATTGTAGCTTGTGCTACGGTTTGTAGGACATTCTCAATGACTGGCAAGGGGTAGATGTCCACTACCGTAACTGAGTTTAAACATTGATAATCGACACACATTTGATTCTCGCCATATTTTTTTCTTAACCAAAAGTATGCCGGACAACCAAGGTGACATGGAGGGGCGAATTATCCCATTCTCTAACAGTTTGTCAACCTGTTGCTGAACAATGATTTGCTGCTCCTGGGACATACGGTAGGGGGTGTCTTGATTGGTTTAGCATCCCGGTATGAATCTGAAATTCGCAGAGGTGCGTACACCCTAGTTGAGCGTCTGTATGCGCAAATAAACTATCCTGATGGTGTAAAAAGTTCAGAAGCATTACGCGCTGGCAAGAATTCTTAATGTGGTCTACGAGTGATTTATAATGAAAGGGCGGGGTTGCAATATTGTGTGGTGACACACTGAACTTGTTAGGTGCGGACGTAATAACCCGTATATGGGGAGGGGCGGTGGCTTCAACTATGGCCACAACAGCATCATGAGGTAACGATATAGCGCGATCTAAGCTATTTTCTAGCTAGCAGAGAATTGTGTGCTGCGCTGTAACCTTGACTAGAAATGGTAATAAGATTAAGTGGGGGTTACTACGAAACATTTTAAAGGCTGGAGATCCTTGAACGAAGAGGAGCTTACCCTGGCGAAATGGCGGGGAACGCGACAGAAACACTGTTGGCCCAAATGGGAAGGTAACACGATCGAATGGTCAATGAAAGCGAGTTGAGGAATGGGGAGAAATTGCTTACTTTGGCAAAGTTTTAAGGTGACCACACTATTACTTAGTGCAAGCACTCCGCAGGCGAAATTAATATTTATTCAGTTAGTTGATAGAAAGACGGCTCCTATTATAAACTGCTGCCTTAAATCGCGAACTATGTAGCACCTATGTAGGGCGGTTACTTGTCCTAGTAGAATATGCAAACTAGCAGTGCCTATAAGCTGTAGTTTATTGCCTGTGACAGAAAGAAGCATGCATTCGATGCGCATACGGCGTTGAAAGTTGCAGTCGCCCGTATATGTGGGGGAAATTGGAGTCATGCGGTTTGGTCAATAAGGGTGCAGTTGCTACCAGTGTCAACTAGGGCCGTAAGTGAAAATGACCCGATTTTAACACTGCACATTGGCGCAGGAGATGTATTGGTAGTCGGTAATCTGCGCGCAGCAGATGCGTGCGTGTCTATAAGTTGCGAGGGTACGGTGGTGCTAATGGGTTGCGGGGGCGTTGCCAAAAATCCTCTAAACGGTTACGGAGAGGGCAGTCACGCGCGTAGTAACCTGGTTGGCCACATGCATAACAACGATTATCACGTTGAATTTGGGTAGGCGCGGCAGCTGGAGTTTGAAACGGGTCGCGCTGGCGCGAAACAGCTGGCAAACAAGCTCATTACAAACAGGTGGACGCCGGTTGCGTCCTGTGGTCGGGGGTCGCCGTGGGCGCGATCGTAGCAGGCAGTCATGGGGTGCGGGTACTTGTAAACGTTATAGGCGCGGGGGTTGTCATGTTATGTCTCGAGATGACTGATTCGTTGAGGGCAACGGGACCTGTGGTACCGACTGTGTAATTAATGTACGCAAACAGCGCACCTCTCTAATGAGATCGGATGGCGTACGGCGTTGTATTGAAGTGACGTCCATAGGTTCGGTCATGTCATAGGGGTCAGTAAACACGTTATTACGGTTCTGTTGTCGTGCCACCAGAGATGGCTCGAGTACGTGTTCGTCGGCCGCAAAGTCGATAGCGTCGGTTAGCGTAGCAGGGTTACGATGGAGCAACAGTCTCTGTGTGTGGACCGATTGGCGTCCATCTAGAAAAATGTCAACAAGGCGGCCCTGCGTTTTGGCCGTTAAAATTCGGTCAGCCGGTATCGCTCGCAATGCGAGAGTCAACAATCTGTCGCCATACGGGC